CAAAATGTGTTCTCAGTACAAATTACAGACTTACAAAAGGAAAATACATGGATGTGCAGCTGAAGGACAGAGCTCTGATAAGGATGATAAAACATCATTCTTTGTCAGTCTTTTAATACATTTACAAAGGCAAGTGATGTAGCTTTGGCCAGGGATAATTGTGTGCTGAAGCAAGTACCAGAACATGATATTGGAAGTGCCATTTTGTATTTCCAGCTGGGACAACAGACAGCAGTTCAGCAGGGAAGTGCACAAGGTAGGGAGGGGGGGGATTAAATCACTGCCAAAACACTGGATCATGCCACCGGGAGGCATCCCACCTTCCCCACAGCAGTCGCTGATGAGGAGGAAAAGGGCTTTGAAGCATTTAGCTTCGAAGTCAGCACTGCCCTCAAATTAGAAATAATGCAAGGCATATGATATTTCAAAACAGCTGACTGAAATCAGCTGACCTGGGAAAACATCAGGCTATCAGAGATTGTCTTTAAAAGATGATTTTATATAGCAAGAACAATAACAGAAGGTGTGGTGAGGTTGAGTTTGCATGACTGCAAACCTAGCAGCATCTGAGATGTTGAAACAAGAAAATCCTATGGATGAATGTGCTGGAGAGCAGGTAGGAAAAACCTAGGGTGAGATGGATCAGCTTGTTCACTGATCATGACACAGGAAATATTCACAAACAACATGATGGAGAACGGAAAGAAGGGATTCCTGGAGACCATGGAATTTGCCCTGGTAGAGTTAACAGTGTGGCAATTTGTAGCATCTCAGCTCTTTGGAGCTGGAACTAAAACTGACATTTGACCTTGACAATATTGGCTAAATTAGATGTTGAGGGACTGAAGACACCAACCAAAAGAATTAACAGGTTTGCTATGATAATAAACCCAAACAAGTTAAGGATTTGAACATTCAAAAGAACTGCTCAAAGCCAGAAAATGTGAGTACCACTTCCTGGGAACTGAGAAGGTGGCCACATCCAGAGTTGAAAAAGCAAAGGCACAGTTTCGGTGCAAATAAATTTACTTTGGTCAAAACAAAAAGTACAAAATATTCCATGTACATTCCCTCAGGTATCAGATGTTTATCTGAATTCCTGTTAGACAAGGTACTTGATGAGCATGAAAGCATCGTGTTTGCCACAGGACTCTGACATTTGGAAGTAGTGTTACAGATGCTCCTAAGGTTCCAGAAATTGTTACAAAATTACAAAATGACTGGTTGGAGCTTTTTGTGGTGCACAGATTTTCAGTAATTTGCATGAAGAGAAAACACAAGAACCTGCAAGAGGATGTGCTTGGAGTCATGTATAATTTGAGTGTGACCCACTTCTGTAATAGAATTAAACAGTCTCAAGTAAGATGAATCAAATGAACTAATTACAGCGAAATTTAAAGGCACAATTCCAAATGGAGAAACTCTCAAAAAGGGAAACTCTCCTGCCTTGCAGGGTAAAATGATACTGACAATACTGGAATGTAACGACAACAGATAGTGTAATTCTGGGTACAGGAGGCTGTGCAGCAGTACCATCATGCAAAATGAGATAAAAAGTGCTAAACATAATTTACAGTATCCATCTGGCTCTGTAGAAGACAAGGGACTGAAAAGAAAGTTCTACTATGGTCAGGCAAACACTGTTGTTCAAGATAAGGAATCCAAGTATAAACTGTACAATAAATTCCTAAAATTATGGAAAATAACCATGGAAGCCATAAGGGATCTGTGATTGCTGTTGATACAGATACATTTGGACTAAACAGAAAAGATGAATTATTAATAATTTTTAGCTTACAAAACATGCAGAGTAGCAGTGTAAAGCAGACTCTAAATCACAATTTACGTGTCCTGGATTCTGGAGGAACTAACACCAAATAATGGCCTGTGTTTTGTAAATGACTTGTTTCAGCAATTTGCTTGAGAAATTAGATCAAGCAAAGTAAAGCAAGTCCTTATGAGGCACTGACACATGGGTTAGCAAGAAGACTGTTTGGTAAATATAATAAAAAACCAGAGGTCCAAGCAAATCACGTCTGGTTTTATTAGATTATTATAGCATACTTCTCAGTGTTCTGTTGAGATTTCCTGTTCAAAGAATTATGGGCAATAAGGGACAAACCCCATAGATATGCTAAGCTGGCAGTGTTTGCGCATTGCAAAAGAGCTATTTGTCTAGAAATAAAAACAGAACAAATGATACAAGCGTGGCCAAGACGAGTGGTGTTGAAAATGGAAAGAAAGGTTAGATTTCAGCCTGATTCTATGGCTACCAATTGAGCACAGTCTCCTCTCAGCTACAATGAGGTCAGATGGCAGAAACCTTCCAAATCAGTTTTTCCATTATTGGACCTGAGAAAAAGTTAGGCAAAACTAAGAGGCATTCTGGCTCCATGCATTTTAAGAAACAGTACAGTAATATGTTGACAGCATTTATGGCATGACAGAAGCAACAGTTTTATATTCAAACACCATCCAGCAATAAAAAAGTTTAAATTAAAAGACTCATTGGCTGTAAAAGGAATGACTGTGTAACACATGACACCATCTGACAACATTGATAGCTACTGACTTTTAGATTAGATGGCTCTAGTTGTGTATTTTATTAACTGACTGCTTCAGTTTGTAAATGTTACTTTATGCCCATTTGCTGTTAAAAGAAATCAGTATAGCTGTTGCTATTGACTTGTGCAAAACAAGAAAGAGCTTAACCTTTGGGTAATGCTGATCCACGTGTCTGCACTGAAGCAGAAAATAAGTTTGATCTCTTCCCAGCACATCTTTATTTATAATATTATATATCTTGACAGAATTTGGCAGATAAAATAATCTGGTGCCTCTCATTTCAATTAGTTTCAGGTTCCAACTGCTGGATCTGGTTATTATTTTGTCTATGCAAAGATCATGCTACTATTAGATGGCTTCTCACTGCATAGGTACTTCCACTCTGTGTTCAAGTCAATTATAAACCTTCTGGTAAACAGTTTCAAGCAATTGGCTTTTTGTGGCATGCTGTCTTTGTCTTGTTTTTCAAACCACAACTCATTTTTGTAGCTCTTCTGCAAACCTCTCCCGTTCTTTCCACATCCTTCTTTAGCATTGACACCTGATTAGGATGTCCAGAAATAGTTTTGCTTAGCCCAGAGACAACCCCACCTCATGGTCTCATTGCATATTCCATAAAAAATAACACATTTAGCAGCTGCATTGCACTGAGCTTTGTAAGCTATGAGTGACCCATTCCATTACACACAGTTAAAATTGAATCTCTTTTCACCTGAAAACTTTACCAGTCATCTTTCAAATCACTCACAAATAACATCGAGCCAAAAGGTAACCTCTGCAGCTGCTTTGGAAACCAACCCATATATAATGATAATTTCCGAATAGTAAACAAGACATGGCTAGTTTCTAGAAAATTTAAGTTTTCTGTATTTATTTAGTATACTCTCAATGTTTTAATCTGAATGTTGTGCTGTAGTGAATTGAACAGATTAGAGCAAAATGGCTCCTGTGCAAACTAAGCTTTTAAATGAATAAGAAACACCAAGCTCATCTGGCAAGCCATCGCCTATAATGTTTTGACACCCGAAACAAACCATTTAGAGACATCCCCACAAAGAGCAGCGTGTGCTTGCACAAGGTCCTAGCAGATTTCAAATGTGTTTGAGGGCACAGAGAGAACTGATGTGTAATGTCTCTAGCACAACATCACTAGAACATAAATACTTGTTACTCCAGCACTTAACTCCTCTTCTGGGACTACAGAATCTTTCCTCTATGTCACACACGGATCTGTGCCACACCACAGTACAGATAAACAGATGATAAAATGCACTGAAGTGATGATCTGCCTGGAGGGCAAAAACCCAGCTAAACAAAAAATCACCAGCAGAGAAAAGAAGAGAACAGAAGCAGTGGTGTTCACTTTGAGGTATTCACCCAGCAATGTGTTTGGGACTTGACTCTCACACCCTTCATTTCAAGTAACTGTGCCTTGAAATTTGCTGCAGACAGAAATTTGGATGGCATTGGTAGTAAGGAAGGCTGGTACATTACATGGAAAATGTTGGATGACCTTGAGGGCTGGTGTAGTAGGAATGGGAAGAAGTTCAAAAGCACAGAGTGTCAGGGCCTGCAGCTGGGGAATAATAAACAAAACTTCTTCTGTAAACTGGGAGAGCATCAGTAGGAAAGTACAAAGGTGGAGAAGGGCCTGCATGTTTCATCCAACTGCAGGATGGCTGTGGGTCTCCAGTGTGATGCAGCATGAAAAAAGCAAATACAACCACAAAATACTTCAGACAAGGAATTACCAGCAGGGGAAGGAAAAACCATCACACCACTTATATAAGGCATTGATTAGACTTTGTTAGGGAATGGTCCTACTTATCCATATTTGAGAAAGTACAAACAGGAACTGGTGGCAGAAAGGGCTGCTGGATTGATAATTGTTCTTACAGAGAGAAGTCTACAAGAAAGTGTATATAGAGTGGGAAAATGAAAACAGAGAATGCTCTTCATAGGTACAGCAAAAAAAGAGAGATATAAACTAGAGGTTTCATTTGACTCAAGAAAAACTGATGAGTAATAAATAGAGATTATAACTCTCAGTACAGTTTCTAGGAATCAAATTGTCCCACTGTGAAATAGGATAGGGGTAGGAATAACGTCTGCATAATCTTTGGATTTGTATTACTGAGCTTACTAAGTGACAGCATTACTTCCAACAGGGGAGTACTGTACTAAAAAACTCAGATTACCCTTTCTACTACCATGAGTTACAAACACTCCAGACAAGTTTTGTGGTGGAAGTTAAATGTAGTTATGGCTGGCTGATTCTTGATATGCACCAGAAAGAGCTCGGATTGAAAGCAAGTCCAGATCAAGTAAACTAACTCTGAAAACACATTTTCAGTGACTTAGAAGAGGGACATGTGGAAAGAGGGAACAGGAAAACAAGAAGAAAAATGCATTTCTTCAAACACCACCATCCTTACCTCCCATGAGGAAGAGAAGCCCTGCCACATACTGCATAAGGCCTCGATCCCAGCAGCACCCCAGCACGCCAATAATCCATCCAAAAAGGATGATGGCCACAGCCATGCCCATGAAACCAGCTGTCATCCTGCGCAGATCTGCAGTGGGGAAGACAGAAAAACAACGTGAGTGGGAACAGTGATAAATCAGCATCATCAGAGGTTCATAACAGTCTTAATCCAAAATGCTACTGATCTGCAAGGACTTCAGTGTGTGTTGGGATGATTTAAGTAAGGATGATTCAGAGCAAGGACAAACCATAAATTAAGTCACTAACTTGGAATGGGTAGATAGAGAGCAGGTGACAATTTTAGCACACAGTGAAGCTCAGTGCAGATGCACTCAAGTGACTTGTGACAGCTTGCTCAAGAGCTAGAAGTTGTAAAATGGCCTCAGTGCAATGCTGTGCCTATTAACTGCAGTCTCTGGGCGCTAGCACAACATCTGTTTACATCTTGCCTTCCCATCTCTGGCCATTACTCCTCGTCACCCTGCTCAAACTGATCAGCAAAGCAGTTTCTGTGCTTTGTACCAGTACAGACATGACAGAGGATTCACCTCAACTGTGACCACCTGTGTGATTTTGGGCAAGTCACTGAGCCCCTCTGGGCTTCCCACATGGGCCATAGCATCCAGTGGTGGTAGGAGTGAAACGTGGTGCCTCCAGAACAGTGAGGCACACTGACACTCCGGTGTCAGACATCACTGGATGCACTCCAGATACATGGCTGGGACAGAGGACATATCATTGTCCTCTCCTGTACCTAGATGGTGACCTTGCCAGGTGATTTTTGGTGAGGATGTTTTTGACTGCTCCAGGGAGCACTAAGAGTAGGAGGAAGGCACAGTGCTGGAGCTAAACATTTTTGCTCATCAAGTGGGGACTGAGTACATCTGATGTGGGTGACAGGAGCTGACCTGCATTTATTTCATAAATAAATGAAAAGGCTCCCCAAGTCCTAATGAAAGGAATCCTTAAATAAAGACCTGTCTGTGTTGCATATTTGCCTTCTGCAAAAGGGATGGGACTATGGGACAGCTGGGAACCCTCTTCCTGCATGTGCTGGGAAAAAAATCCTTCACAGTTGGTTTGGATGTGAAATCTGGGCAGTGAGACCACCTGGCACTGAAAGAGCAAGGACTATGTGAGCTAAAGAGCATATTCACACCCTCAGATAATGAAACAGATGGGGGCATCTTCACTAACATTTGATTATTCCCTGTCCCCCTTCATGTAGGCATAAAAAGTTTAAGCACTGATATGTCAAGAGTATATGTACAGTAAAAATTCCAACCAAGTCAACTCTCTTAACATTTGTTTCCTTCTTGAAAGCTTTTTTTTTTTTTTCACAGCAATGATTTTACTTTTTTTCTCCCAAGAAACAGAATGCTTATGACAGAGAAGAAAGATTTGAAAACTGTGAATCATCCAGCAGTCTTTATGGCAGCTTTTCTCTTTGGCTGGCCTTTGACTATTTCTCCGTTTCTGTTATTTTTTGTTTTTCCCACAGCGGATAAAAGGACCAGCAATACTTACAGCTCAGATTCAATTAATTTTGTGAAGAGTGATAAATTACCATCATCAGAGGTTTATAAAACTTCATATTCAGAATGCTAGGTGTCCACAAAATCTATAGGAATGTTGGGACAGCATGACTTGAAGACAGTTTACTCAGGTCCATGTTCATTACAGCACTTTTTATGCAAGATCAAGTTGCAGAACACAATCTGCAGAACCCTTCCCTTGAAGCTATAACTCCTTCCTGTAGATTGTCATTGATTTTCCAAGGAGCCTCTCTGACAACATAAAGATAACCAGGTCTTCAGCCCACCAGTAACCAGCCTCTTTTAACAAGATCCACATCTTAAAATAAGTACGTTTATCTTAGGTTTTGTGACTGCCCCACCACATTTGAGTATGTTCAAGGAGCTCTAGTACAGAAAAAAAACAACAACCTAACAATTCCTGCAGAAACTTATACTTCCCCCAGGCAACATCTGTGTTCCTTGGAAATTTCTCAGAGTGATTTCTAAAACAAGAAATGTCAGTAAGTATCTTTGATGGCCAAGTGTCTTCCTACTTTTTCAGTCCATGACGGCCTGGGTTCAATTTGAAAATGAAAACACAAAATCTTTACTGTCCCTATATCATCTTCCATAACAGCACAACACATCCCTCCAAGGTGCTGCACAGCATTTTTGTGTCAGCCCTACAAACCTCTTGCAATTTAACTTGTGACTGCTGACTCTGAGTAACACCATTTGCCTGTCCTAATGGAAACATACCCTAACAACCTGCTTCTAATGAGCTCAGCTTAAATAGCTTTATTCAGCTACAAGATGTCCAGAACCCCTGCCTTCCTGATGACCCAGTTTTCATAGGCCCCAGAGTGGATCACAAGCATCCTCACATCATGTATGCCAAACTCAGGAACAGGGTTTATCCTGCAAAGATCTGTGTGAACTTTGCCACTAAACAGAAAAGTTAAAGGAGTAGGGCCAAGATTTCTAGGCCAAATTTTGACATTTGTTTCCCTCACCCTCTTTTGCTGATGGATCCTGAAATTCCCTTTCTAACACAGCGAAATCTAAATTGAACTTCTTTATGAACTCTTAGTTCTCACTAGTTCAGTGAGCTTAGTTTGAGATTGCCACTGCTTATGCCAGTTGCAAATTTGCTCCTCACAAGTCCATCCACTAGGGATTATCTGAAGCAATTAAAATATGAACTTTCTTTTCTATTTAAAACAATTTGGCTTTTGTCCTGCCATAACATTCCTTGAGGGGAGCACTTGCAAATGGCCATGCTGGGAAAGGGGGTTGTAAAGCCGGATTCGACATCAGCCTGCACTTGTCCAACAGCATCTTCCTGCCACTCCTCACCTGCCAGTGCCCACAGAAGCTGAGTTCAGCGCTGGGATCAAGTCTATTCAAAGTGATTCTTTTGTGGAAAAGCACTCAATGGATGTAAATTAATCATCACCCTCAGGCTATTTAGAGGAATAGGAGCCTATATTCCCTAGACTCAAACCCTATTAATGGGGCTGCTTATGATTACTGTTTGTTGGTGTGGTGCTTGACATGGAAAGGACAGAAGAAAAGCAAAGATTTGCATTGTGTATTCAGGCAATGTCTAAATTTGTTCTGCTAATTGAGGATGGAGGGATGGCATATAAATAAACAATAGCTCATCAGTACAAATTGATGGGGTTTTGTCTGAATTTGATTGGCACTGATAGGACCTTTCCTGAATGCATCCTGCAAAGGTAAAAAGGGTCATGCTGTCATGTAACACCACTTTATGACATTTGAGCACGTTCTGGGTTTGGTTTATTTTTCTGAAATTGCTTTTGTTTATTTTTAGACTATGAAATTAATAGTTCTCTGCATTCTTTATTTTTGAAAACCTCTCTGAGTAATAGGATCTCAGGGTCACGGCATGACAACACCAATCAACTGAAGGAGTGACTATGCCAGCAAAATGCATTATTGAATCTTATACAGCCAAATGGGAGCTGCAACAGCAAACAAACTTATCTCAGTGCATTCATGTGCATTGCTTAGCTGGTCCTGCAGCTCATCTTCTCCTGGGTACCCATCCCAAGTCCTCACAATGTAACAAAGTGCACAGATTGCAGGGACACTGAATTCCCCTTCCCCACCATCCAGCAAACCAAACCTTTAGAAATGTAGCTACATGGTGGAAGTAAGGAATGTATTACATTGCTTATTCCATAACCTACAATACAGAAGTTAATTTTTAATGCTTTTCCTGTATGACTACTAGTTTCAATGATTCACTGTGTGGACATAGATACCAAGATCACTTGTGGTTCAAAATACAATATTATCTTTCCAAACATTTTTTTAGAAACATCTTCTTCATCCCTTTTTCTTTTTAATGCCAGCTAAAAGCTATGAGTGAATATCTTCTCTTTGGGAGACTTTTCATGTCTACCACTGCTACAGGTGCTGCTGCATGTAAAAGGAAGGGAACTCAATCCTGACTCAAAAGCAGTGTGGGTCATCGGGCAGGGAATACAGGTACCATGTTCATGTTTGTTGGGAACAACAAACTTCTTGACTGGTAGCATTGGAGAAGGGACAAAGAATGGAGTAATCCTGATCCCACCATGGAAGCTTTATCATTTCAGATAAAGTTGAAAGCTACAAGCTTTGTGAATCCTGATGAAGAGAGAAACATTAGCATTTTAGACAATGTTGTTAAAATACAGACCAATTCTCATAAGCCAACATGCATTTCCTAAAAACATTTTTGTTTTCTGCTGGGAATATTATTAACTCTATGTATTTCCTGCAAATAAAGAAAGGCAGAAAAGCTGATTAAGAGCCATTTATTTCCAAGCAACATGTGGTGGAAGGTTCTCACTGTCAGTCTGCAAGTGCCCCTGCCCTTCCTTTCACCCTGATATCTGTCCATCTGTATTTGTTATGAGCAATAAAGTAATTTGTGCTGGTTATCACATTGTGGAAGAAGTTTCACACCCCAGCAGCTGCAAACATAACATGTTCTGATTCAGCTTTGCTTTTTAAAAATTTCATTATGCCTTTTTGACTTCTGATGTTCCGTCCTCTTCCTTTAAATTGCAAGTCATGTTTCTAAAGCAAGGGCTCAAGTCTTCCTGCTGATATCTACCTTTCCACAGAAGTTAACAACACCTCCAAAAAACTAGAGATTGCTTTCCTCACGACACATACAGGAAGGACTGTATGAGACTCTTCTGAAAGATGGGGAAACCAAGTCAAGAATGATCAACATGGCCCCAGCTACGTGAAAAGTTTGTGGGGAGTGTATAATCAAATCTGTATTAGCAGGATTTCTGGACAGCCCTTGAACTACACAGCTCTGCTTTTGCTTTCAGAACGGCTTGTTCTCAAGTGTTTGTTAGCAAATCAAACTACAGTGCTTGTTATCAGACCCTCAGAAAATGCAATATTGCTGCAAATAATATTTCAGATAGTCCATCCTGCATTTCCTCCTTCCTTCTCCCAGTAGAAGAAGGTCTGCAGGGACTAAGCACCCTGAAGTCTATATCAAGAATATCTAGAACAGCTTAGAAGAGATTCTGGGTACAAC